TAAGGAGGCTGTGATCCGTGCAATTTGTGATGAAGATTATGAAACACATACTAACTTAAGCTCGAAATTGATGATATTGTTGTGACAAACCCCCAAACCATTGTAAATCACATTTGTGAGTTCTTTTTTTAGGAAATTTCTAGATTGGCAAATGGCCATTGTGCTCCTGAGATCCCTGATGATAGTAGCCACGGCCGCCTTTAACTCAGGCCGCGGCCTTCAAAGTGGCAACGCCGCAAGTGGTGTTGTAACAGCTGTTTTGTTTAGAAGCATCTAATGTTACTGTATTTGTGTATTTACGAAAGATTGGTTACTGGACTATGACAATAGTGACTCCGCTTTAAATGTACAGATATATATTTTTAATTCATATTGTTTCGGTTTTCAATTCTGTGTGTTTTATTTTCAATATTTTAATACATTTATGTTCATAAATTTAAATTTAAATCAATAAAGTGCGAATTAATGAGATGATGTCACCTGTCTGGTCTGCCATGTTATCTAATGGTACGTCTGTCACTATACAACACCACTTGTGAGATTGCAAATTCTACCAGTCCGCGGCCTGTGGTTAAAAGTGGCCTGTAGTAGCACACAAAAGTAATTACAGCATTTATTTACTTTTGCCGTTGCCGTTTGCCGCACTCATTTTTTGCTATACTCCAGTACTCCAACTTAACACCACAAAACCACGTAACCGAAGTCCGAATTCCGAAACCAGTAACCCCAGAACCACATATAGATAAGGAATAGAAATGAAGCATGGCCGCCTTTAACTCCAGGCTACGGCCTTCGAAGTGACAGCTGTTTAGATTTAAATCAATAAAATGTGAATTAATGAGTTGATGTGACCTGTCTGTCATGTTATCTTGTGGGACGTCTGACACTAAGCAACCCTACTTACTTGCGACGCGCCGTTGCCAATTCTACCAGGCCGCGGCCTGGAGTTAAGGGAGTTAAAGGTGGCCGTGACTGGAGGGTGGGGAGTACGAACGCCACGAAATCGTCGAAATCGCTCCTATGAAACCGAATGAGTATGACCAGTATGACGTCAAGGAGCGTCCCGTCAATGGTCCCGTGAACCTTTTTAATTTTAAGAATCGGACCCATCAACAGGCAATCAATCACACATTACTAAAAATAGTGAAATTGGCTTTGAAACAAGAAAACATGTATATTGTATATAACATCAAATTACTCAAATATAACTGTATATAAATATCATTTTTTTTATTCATAACATTGTTTCGTGAAACAGATTTAATTTAATCCATCATGTTCATTATCTTAAATTATGTCATCATGAGTCACTACACTAATCCACTAATGACATCACCCACACTCAAACTCAACTTCAGTTAGTCTAGTCATCGTAGTAAAAGTCATGTGATGTGAGTCATCGAGTCATGTGACGGTGACGGTGACGGTCAGTCGGTCAACTGTCAAGAGTGTCAAGTTTGTTTTGTTTAGTTTTCACAGTTTTCAATTCAACCATGGTCGCAATCACAAATTAAAGGAAGTTATTAAGCCTCTGATTTAGTGATAAAACTCAATAGACTATTTACTTTTGATCTATAAATCAATTGATTATTGGTGTGAACCTGGCAATAACTCCAGCCATAAGTAGTGCGCGCGCCCGAAAAAATCTATTGCTGGCCGCTTTGCGGCAAAATACGTCCGCGATGCATATTACCGATTATGCCAACAGATAGAGGACACTTTAACGGACACGACAGTATCAATATTATGTACCTGGGGAGTAGTATAAGGGGGGTAAAATCGGCAAAAAGTAGTGCGCGCGCTACAAAAAATCTATTGCTGGCCGTATTACGGCAAAATACGTCCGCGATGCATATTACCGATTATGCCAACAGATAGAGGACACTTTAACGGACACGACAGTATCAATATTATGTACCTGGGGAGTAGTATAAGGGGGGTAAAATCGGCAAAAAGTAGTGCGCGCGCTACAAAAAATCTATTGCTGGCCGCTTTGCGGCAAAATACGTCCGCGATGCGTATTACCGATGATGCCAACAGATAGAGGACACTTTAACGGACACGACAGTATCAACATTATGTACCTGGGGAGTAGGTTAAGGGGGGTAAAATGAGCAATAAGTAGTGCGCGCACCACCAAAAATCTATTGCTGGCCGTATTACGGCAAAATACGTCCGCGATGCATATTACCGATTATGCCAACAGATAGAGGACACTTTAACGGACACGGCAGTATCATTATTATGTACCTGGGAAGTAGTATAAGGGGGGTAAAATCGGCAAAAAGTAGTGCGCGCGCTACAAAAAATCTATTGCTGGCCGTATTGCGGCAAAATACGTCCGCGATGCATATTACCGATTATGCCAACAGATAGAGGACACTCTAACGGACACGACAGTATCAACATTATGTACCTGGGGAGTAGGTTAAGGGGGGTAAAATGAGCAATAAGTAGTGCGCGCACCACCAAAAATCTATTGCTGGCCGTATTACGGCAAAATACGTCCGCGATGCATATTACCGATTATGCCAACAGATAGAGGACACTTTAACGGACACGACAGTATCAACATTATGTACCTGGGGAGTAGTATAAGGGGGGTAAAATCGGCAAAAAGTAGTGCGCGCACTACAAAAAATCTATTGCTGGCCGTATTGCGGCAAAATACGTCCGCGATGCATATTACCGATGATGCCAACAGATAGAGGACACTTTAACGGACACGACAGTATCAACATTATGTATCTGGGGAGTAGTATAAGGGGGGTAAAATCGGCAAAAAGTAGCGCGCGCGCTACAAAAAATCTATTGCTGGCCGTATTGCGGCAAAATACGTCCGCGATGCATATTACCGATGATGCCAACAGATAGAGGACACTCTAACGGACACGACAGTATCAATATTATGTACCTGGGGAGTAGGTTAAGGGGGGTAAAATGAGCAATAAGTAGTGCGCGCACCACCAAAAATCTATTGCTGGCCGTATTACGGCAAAAGCCAGCAATAGATTTTTTGTAGCGCGCGCACTACTTTTTGCCGATTTTACCCCCCTTATACTACTCCCCATATACATAATGTTGATACTGTCGTGTCCGTTAAAGTTTCCTCTATCTGTTGGCATAATCGGTAATATGCATCGCGGACGTATTTTGCCGCAATACGGCCAGCAATAGATTTTTTGTAGCGCGCGCACTACTTTTTGCCGATTTTACCCCCCTTATACTACTCCCCAGGTATATAATGTTGATACTGTCGTGTCCGTTAAAGTGTCCTCTATCTGTTGGCATCATCAGTAATATGCATCGCGGACGTATTTTGCCGCAATACGGCCAGCAATAGATTTTTTGTAGCGCGCGCACTACTTTTTGCCGATTTTACCCCCCTTATACTACTCCCCAGGTACATAATGTTGATACTGTCGTGTCCGTTAAAGTGTCCTCTATCTGTTGGCATCATCGGTAATATGCATCGCGGACGTATTTTGCCGCAATACGGCCAGCAATAGATTTTTTGTAGCGCGCGCACTACTTTTTGCCGATTTTACCCCCCTTATACTACTCCCCAGGTACATAATGTTGATACTGTCGTGTCCGTTAAAGTGTCCTCTATCTGTTGGCATCATCGGTAATATGCATCGCGGACGTATTTTGCCGCAATGCGGCCAGCAATAGATTTTTTGTAGCGCGCGCACTACTTTTTGCCGATTTTACCCCCCTTATACTACTCCCCAGGTACATAATGTTGATACTGTCGTGTCCGTTAAAGTGTCCTCTATCTGTTGGCATCATCGGTAATATGCATCGCGGACGTATTTTGCCGCAATACGGCCAGCAATAGATTTTTTGTAGCGCGCGCACTACTTTTTGCCGATTTTACCCCCCTTATACTACTCCCCAGGTACATAATGTTGATACTGTCGTGTCCGTTAAAGTGTCCTCTATCTGTTGGCATCATTGGTAATATGCATCGCGGACGTATTTTGCCGCAATACGGCCAGCAATAGATTTTTTGTAGCGCGCGCACTACTTTTTGCCGATTTTACCCCCCTTATACTACTCCCCAGGTACATAATGTTGATACTGTCGTGTCCGTTAAAGTGTCCTCTATCTGTTGGCATCATCGGTAATATGCATCGCGGACGTATTTTGCCGCAATACGGCCAGCAATAGATTTTTTGTAGCGCGCGCACTACTTTTTGCCGATTTTACCCCCCTTATACTACTCCCCAGGTACATAATGTTGATACTGTCGTGTCCGCTAAAGTGTCGTCTATCTGTTGGCATCATCGGTAATATGCATCGCGGACGTATTTTGCCGCAATACGGCCAGCAATAGATTTTTTGTAGCGCGCGCACTACTTTTTGCCGATTTTACCCCCCTTATACTACTCCCCAGGTACATAATGTTGATACTGTCGTGTCCGTTAAAGTGTCCTCTATCTGTTGGCATCATCGGTAATATGCATCGCGGACGTATTTTGCCGCAATACGGCCAGCAATAGATTTTTTGTAGCGCGCGCACTACTTTTTGCCGATTTTACCCCCCTTATACTACTCCCCAGGTACATAATGTTGATACTGTCGTGTCCGTTAAAGTGTCCTCTATCTGTTGGCATCATCGGTAATATACATCGCGGACGTATTTTGCCGCAATACGGCCAGCAATAGATTTTTTGTAGCGCGCGCACTACTTTTTGCCGATTTTACCCCCCTTATACTACTCCCCAGGTACATAATGTTGATACTGTCGTGTCCGTTAAAGTGTCCTCTATCTGTTGGCATCATCGGTAATATACATCGCGGACGTATTTTGCCGCAATACGGCCAGCAATAGATTTTTTGTAGCGCGCGCACTACTTTTTGCCGATTTTACCCCCCTTATACTACTCCCCAGGTACATAATGTTGATACTGTCGTGTCCGTTAAAGTGTCCTCTATCTGTTGGCATCATCGGTAATATGCATCGCGGACGTATTTTGCCGCAAAACGGCCAGCAATAGATTTTTTGTGGCGCGCGCACTACTTATTGCCAAGTTATTGCCAGGTTCACACAAGTCAATTGATTGACCAGCAGTACTTAATTTGGCTTACTTTTTACTTTTAATAGTTGGTGTTTGAGGATTTGGTTTTATCCTTGACCTAGGCAGGCTGGCTAGGCTACTGAATGGACCGAATGGAACAGCAAAGGAAGGACAGGACGAGGACAGTTTGTTGAAAGAGGACTCCTTGACTTGATAATAACATAACCTCAAAATCATAGCCTAATTGTACATTTTTGTTTTTCATTAGTAAGTTAGCTTTTGGAAATTTTAAATTAGGCTAGGCTATATGTCTCTAATACAAGTAGAGACGCATGGACTATTATCTAACTCTCTGAAGAGTCATTGTAATGTAAAATAATTTAATTGTGTTTCTGTAGGCTAGTGTAAGAGAAGCCTGAAATCAGCCTATCCAGCTGACAAAAGTTTTAATTTAATAAAATGATCATATTTTTTTATGATTAAGGTCTGCTCTTATTATAAGAAATAGGCTAATAAACTGAAAATAATAATGCATTCTAACATGTATCTTCTACCTCCAAAAGAGAGGGATGTTGATCAAACAAACTTAAGCCTATGTGAAGTTATATTGAAGAAGCATTTTTACCTGTATTGCTTGATATCAATTTCAATACTTATTTTTCTGCTCTCACCACACACTGTGATCTATCAAGAAATGGATGACCAGTTTATTGAAAACAATAGAGATCTATCAGACTTTAATGTTGATTTTCCAATCCTTATTCAACTTGAACGCTCCAACGACACACTTCAAACAATCAATATTTCAACTCAAGAGCAACCAAAAAAATCAAAAAGGCCTACTGAAAACCTATCTGAAATTAAACACACCCATTCTGATGCTCAATGTAACGCATTTAAAGACAGTGAAAAATTTGACTGTTTTCCACAAGAAAATGCCAATGAAGAATTGTGTAAAAGTAGAGGGTGTTGTTGGAGTCCAGTCAATTCGACATCAAAGGAAGAACAAGGAGTGCCATATTGCTACTACCCATCAAAGTTCAGGAGCTACAGATATGTAAACATATATCCAACAGACCTTGGAGCTACGGCATATTTGGCAAATGTTGTGAATTCTACATACCCAGATAATATCCAAATGGTTAGGATAGACTTTAATTATCTTGATGAAAACATCCTTCAAGTCAAGGTAAGCACGTGCCCTGAAACAATTTGAGTGAAGTTTTGAAAAACTAGCTTAAAAGTTAATACTTACTTTTGTTGGTTACTTACTGATCATGTGTTTGGTTTTGTGGTACACTGTAGGCCTAACTTAATTCGATTTTAGCACAATATATAGGCTATTAAAGAAATACCAACGGAATGTTTTCGAGCACTAAGATGTTCAACAGTGTAGCCTATAGAGGGAAGGCTTTTGGATCCTCAAGATCAATATTAATCCTTCTGTAAGCTAACAACAAAACAAACCCAATAGAACATCTTTGGATTTTGGTCAATAGTCAATCCTTATTTTCACTCTACAAAATTCAGCAAAGCTGACGTAAAGTACAGTACCGGTACGGTAGGCCTACTAAAACTTAAAACAAAACTTAAGACTAAAAAGACCACTTTATAAAATTACTAAAATTAAGTCAGAACACATAATTTATAAAAGAGTTAACGTAATATGCCCTTATCGATTAACAATTTAGAGACTTTTTTTTGTGCGAATTTTGAGGAGAACTCGTTATTTCCCTATTTATTGAACAATTAAGTTCCCTATCCTTTAGTTCCTTGTTCAAAATGGGTAGCCAAAGTGGCCTGATTTCAACCGATGACTGACTGATTGGTTGGTCTGCTAATTTAATGTATGAGGCTTCAATGAGTTTACGTTTGAAAAAATGAGGTTTCTTACAGACAATTTTTGCCTCTTCAAAATTCATACGATGATTTTCGGACCAGCAATGATGAGCGATCTTAGATTTTTCCACTAGCCTAGAAACCTTTTTTTAAGGCGCGTTTACACGATGCAAATTGCCAGGCAGGTAGCCTGCTCCAGGTAAACTGCCGCAGGTAACTGGCGTCGTGTGAACGCAACCTGCTTCAAAAATGAGGCAATTTGCCCGTCATTCCGCCAGCCAGGTAGGTTGCCTGAAACAGTAGACTGAAGAAGGTAACCTGCCCCCCCCACCACCTCAAATCTGACCTGCCATCTGCAGTGGCGTCGTGTAGACGGTACATTGACAGGCAGCTTGTAGGTTAGGTGCCGGTGTCCCGTGTGTCACAACGCTGTTGTTTGTGTGTATAGGCTATTTTGAATACAGTTATATTTGTTGCAGTTTATTTGTTGTATAAGATGGCACCTCGTTGGACCGATGACATGAACATTAAATTTGTTTTATTGTACCAAGATCATGAATGTTTATGGAACCAGTTCCATGAGTTGTACAAAAACAAATATTCCCGCGAGTCTGCACTGCAGAACATAGTGATAGCAATGAACATTGAAGGTTTTGGTGTGGCCGAAGCTAAGAATAAAATAAAAGCCTTGAGGGCTACTTACCAGTCAGAAGTAACTAAAGTGAAACAAAGCGAAAAATCGGGCTCTGGTTCAGGCGATATATATGCGCCAACATTAAAATGGTTCAATATTATGAAGGAGATCATGATTAAAGGAACACTGAAGAGGAAAACTACAAGCAATTTGGTAAGTACTTTTACTTAGGTCTACAATTTACAATTTAGGTTTACAATTTACAAGTTATATATACATCGACTGACTGACACAATATTGTTTTCTGGTCCCCATATAGTGTCTATATAGAACTTAACTTAACTTGGTCTGAAATATCCAACTATAGATTCAGTTTAAATTTTATGGAAACATGTAGTGTAATAATAATAATATAACTTTCACAAAAGCATGTACTCTAGTCGTGAAATGATGTATTATTATGTATTAAATTAATGTACCATCTTCACATGCATGTTGGATGATTAATTAATCATCTTGTTTTGCCATTCGACAGCACCCTCATTAAGAAAGTAGTGTTTGTACATCTCACGTTTTTGTTTCGCCTTTTTGGTTTGTTGTTGGGGGCCTACACGAGAAACGCTTGTAAGACCTGCAGTTTCTTCTCGCCAAGAGCCCTCAATAACTTGTCCTAGATTGAAGTCATCGTAGTCTACAGAACCTCTAACAAAATATGTGTGTGCTGATTGTTTCCTCAAGTAGTTATGGAGAGCACAAGCAGCTAAAACTACTTTGTCAATAGTTTCGGGTTGCAAAGGAAGAGGTTTCCCAAACACTCTAAATCTGCTAACCAATATACCAAAAGCATTTTCAACAATGCGACGGGCGCGGGAAAGTCTGTAGTTGAAAACCTTTTCTTCGAACGAAAGCAAAGATCCCGGATACGGTTTCATCAGGAACTCTTTTAACGGAAATGCGTCATCTCCGACAATAACACCGTCCGGTGGAAGAAGCCCATTTTGCAAAGCTTCGAGTAGAGAACTTTGGCCAAACACCCTGCCGTCAGATGCAGAGCCGTTACTTCCAACTTCAACGTATGTGAAATTGTAGTCGTGATCTACTAAAGCCATAAGAATGATGCTGTGCGACTTTTTATAGTTGAAAAATGTGCTGCCACAGTTTTCAGGTGCTCTTATGTTTATGTGCTTTCCATCTATGGCACCGTAGCAGCCTGGGAAATTCCATCTGTTCCTGAAACCATTTTCTATGTGTTTCCATTCTTCCACAGTTGTAGGCGCCTGTAACAGATATATGAATTTAGTATGCCTATATTAATTTAAAATAACAATAAAAATAACAATACTGTTTACACTAATCGTTTATTTCAGGAGTCGCCAATAATTCCATGCAAGAAACAAGCTATGAACGAAACAACAATAAATGAAGACCAAGATTCTACAACTATAGACGCAACGCTAGATATCGGAGAAGAAGAGGATTTAGAAGAATCACTCATTGACAATGTTACAAATGAAGAACCTCTAGAAGTTTCAAGTGCCAAAGTAAATCAACCGCCACTGGATAAGCAACAGGACGTTATCCCTAAAAAGGTTCGGAACCGGTCCAAAATACAGCAAATTGCTGCTACCGCCCGAGAATTAAAGCAACTCAGCCAAAACATTTCAAAATCAGATAACAACAAGCCTTCTGTAGATAATGAATTCGATGTATTCGGAAAGCATGTTGCTTCTCAATTGAAGCAGTTGACAGCTGAACATGCTATAACCGCTATTGGAGAGATTAACACAATATTAACAAATAAGCGTCTTGCCTCTTTACTGGGAGTAGCCGTAGCTCCCAACACAAATGAATCGTCACAAACTTCTCCAATATACATAATTACAGAAAATGTAGGGAATTACTCCCAAGAAGGGGGAATTCCCTGCACAAGCTCTAACGAAGATGCAAGTACTTAATGTTGTAACTGTCTGGTTGAAGGACATCATTACAACCAAGATTCCAGTAATTCTTTTTCTAATTTTGAAATATTGTCAACCCTCTGTTTGGAAGTTAAGATTAATGAACTGATATATTTTTACGGACAACATATCAGTAGTTCATTGGTTCATTCATTACTTTCAAATACTCTTACTTCTATGTTTGAAAGTTATATTCATTTGTATATTTGTAACTTTTTTGTTCAACATGTTTAACGATGTAAAAATTAAAATGTGTGTGTTAATAAAGTTCTTTGGAGTTTTGTATTTTTAATATATTATTTGAACTTACCTTCATGTAATCTTTAAGAACGAAGTGAATAGCTTCGCAGACCTCAGGAATCAACTTCGAAATAGAAGCCTTTGAAACACGAAAGAAATGTTGTAGGCTTCTGTAGCTGTTTCCAGTAGCAAGGTAACATAGTGTAATTTCTAATTTAAGTTTAGATGACAGTGCTGATCTCATTATGGTATCTTGTTTTGTAATAAGAGGTTCAATAAGTGTTAACAATTTGTCAAAGCTTACTGGTGACATTCGCAAGCATGCTCTGTATTCGGCTGGATCCTCTGCACGAAATTCAGTGAGTAATTGCGCGGACGCACCGAGACTATCTCTTCTCCTTAACCAGTCTCGAATCCATAATTTTTTTCTCCCCAACTCATCAATAAGTATTGTGCAAGACTCTTGGATAAATTCTTGGGTTAAATCCTGCACCATTGACCTTAATTCATCTTGAGATATCACAGAGGAAGCGCACTCAGCCATTTCGGAAGTACTATTGTTACCAGGCAAGCTGCAAGGCAGCTTACTTGCCCCGTGTAAACAGATTTTGCAGGCAGCTAACCTGCGGCAGGTTACCTGGAGCAGGCTACCTGCCTGGCAATTTGCATCGTGTAAACGCGCCTTTAGTGTTTTCTCTGTGTTCTTTGATTCTAACGTTCAACTGTCTTTTTGTCTCGCCATAGTAAGGCCTGGAACAATCATTGCAATTATAGAGTATATTGATTTTATATTATTTTATATTGAATTTTATAGATTAGCCTATAGTGTTTTGTGATTGGTTATTATTTGCATGTTGTATCATGACTTGACTGCTATACAGTGCATATTTTTGACTGCTACCTTCTGTAGTGTATTCCAACTTAGGTTGGGCATTTGTGTATTGTTAGTTGTAATTAAGTTTTTTTACCTGAGGACGGGATCAGATTCCAGATCCCGAAACGTTGTGTATTGCTTTTTACAATCGTGATGGCAAATGTCCGCAATAAACCTTTGAACAACATGTCTCAAACTGTTATAAATATCAATTTAAATATGTGTGTGTGTGTGTCCTTGGGTAACAATGGACCCCAAATTCATAACTTTTTTCTTTCAGATCTACGATGCAAATCAAACAAGATTTGAGAGTCCATTGCCGAAATTATCCTTGACTGGCAGACGACTGGCAAAGAATACTTCCTATTATGTGAACATTGACAAAGACAAATTGGGCTTCAATGTCATCAGAAAAAGCACCAATCAGTCTCTGTGAGTCCGCTTTATTCCTAGTTTAGCTCTAAAATCAGTAAAAACAAATAGGTTACCGATAAGGAAAATAAGTAAAACTTACCGGTAGTAACTAATTACTGGGTATAATCTTTGAATACAACATTAATGCAATTGAGAATCCAATAGTCAATAGTATAATGTATCATATGGAATTATTGTATGGGGTAATGATACCAGGGTAAAAAAATGTTACCTAATTGAACAAAAGCACACTATTAAAGTCATAGCAAATGTTGACATGAGGACCCACAGTAAGCCATTGTTTTGAAAGTTTAATACTCACTGTACCTGCAGTGTATATTTTAGAGTGTCTGTTGTTTCTTAAAAGAAATTTACATACTACGGTATATCTACAACAAATAACTAAGTTATTTAACTAGAAACTAACTGTAACTCACTTAGAATTTCCCAGTGTAATTTAAAAATTACTTTGAATTGTTTTGTTCAAATCAAATGGGCAAAAAACTGTAGGCTATAATTCTCTACCTTCTCATTAGAAATCTTTAGAATTGATCTGTTTTAAGAGGAACGTTAAGCATCTTTTGTTTAGCTTTAAAAGTCCATATGACATAAACCAGTTTTTTTTCATGTTAATGACCATTTAACTACATTTAACTTAGTAGGCCTATGCCTATGCTTATCTTTGGAATGTTTTATAGTTAGGCTATATTTATTTATAACTTGTTGACACTGCTACCTATACATTATAAAATGTTCTGGCAATAAAGATTTGATTTAATTTGATTTTATTTGTTATAAATCACAGGCAAATAAATGAGTAATTTTGAGGTATTTACTCAGGAGAGGTATAGAAGAACCATCCATGAAACCTCTCCCCATGATTTGTATGTTTTGTGAACTCAAGTGGTCAATTTATCTTCTTTACTGTATCAATATCATTTTTTTTAGACAGCACGAAGATTTATATCCTTTTATGACTTTTAACATTTTAGATTCAATGCGGAGGACATGGGAGGGTTTATTTTTGCCAATCAGCTGCTACAGTTGTCAGCACAGTTGCCAACCCACCGTATCTACGGGCTTGGACAACAACGCAACGAGTTTCTTCTCGACACTAACTGGCGAGTCATCACACTCTTCAACAGGGACCAAGAGCCAATTGATAAGGTGAGGAAGACAATGATTAGCTTAAAGATAAGGTAACAATCTTGATTAGAATGTTAATTTTCAATGTACAGTGCAACTTGGGTACCCTAGTACGTACAAACACTAAAGGACCAGTGAGAAAAATTTGAACAGTTCAAAAACTCGATTTGGGTAAGATTGGTTATAAATGGTTTGCAAATTTTTTTTATTTTTCCTCTGAAGACAAAAACTGGTTTTGGGTTAATGAAATACAAATTTTAAGAATTCCAAAACCAGATGGTAAAGCAATAACTAATTAAAAATGAGAACGTAATAGATTCTTAAAGACATTTCCACAAAAAGTTGTTTTGTGCGTGCTTAAATCATCTGATTTTGTACATTTTGTAACTTATTTCCACTTGATTGCCAAATATTTTGTTTATTTGTTTTAGTCTAACCTCTATGGAACTCATCCGTTTTATTTAGCTGTCGAAGACGGAGGGTTGGCACATGGTGTTTTTCTGCTCAACACAAATGCAATGGGTATTTATTTTCATAGTTTTTGTTTTCTGATGACCTAGGGTATCATAAAAAGCGTATACGTAGTATAGTATTTTCCATTAATTACTAGGGTTGTTTGTAAATTAAGGTCTCTGTAGATTAAGATAATAATGGAATATGAGAGTACCTATTGTTGAACAGCTTAAGATCACTTTGGTAGTTAAAGACAATAATTGGCAGTTAGGACAATGTTGAAGGGCCTAAGAAAATGGTCGATAGTTTAAGACAATATTGTTTTCAGACATTATCCTCCAGCCTGCTCCCGCTATCACATACCGCACTATTGGAGGTGTCCTGGATTTCTTCTTCTTCCTCGGCCCCACTCCAGCAGATGTTATTAGTCAATACACCGGTTTGATTGGACGGCCGTTCATGCCACCGTATTGGAGTCTTGGCTTTCATCTTTGCAGGTAACAATCACTACCCCTTCTATCCTTACTGAATTTTCGACTGATTTATTGTTCGAAGTTGCCAATGCGTTGTGAGTGAATGGTTGTAAATCTTTGAATTAACTGGGTAGTAAGGTGTATATGCGTTAAAATACATTTTTATTTAAATAGGAGTAGTATCTTATGCATCTAATTTAGCATAAAAACAAATAATAAAATGAACTTAACAATAAAATAAATAATATGGATGCTGTTCAAAGGTTTATTGCGGACATTTTCCATCACGAATGTAAAAAAAAAAAAAAACAATACACAACGTTTCGGGATCTGAAATCTGATCCCGTCCTCAGGTGAAAAAAACTTAACTAACACATTACAACTAACAATACACAAACGCCCAACCTAAGTTGGAATACATGACTGCTTATACAGTGCATGTTTTTTGACTGCTACCTTCTGTAGTGTATTCCAACTTAGGTTGGGCGTTTGTGTATTGTTAGTTGTAATGTGTTAGTTAAGTTTTTTTCACCTGAGGACGGGATCAGATTTCAGATCCCGAAACGTTGTGTATTGTTTTTTTTTTTTTTACATTCGTGATGGAAAATGTCCGCAATAAACCTTTGAACAACATTAACTCACCATCACCAACAATGAACTTCAAACAAAGAATATGGATGCATTGGAAGTTACCTTACAAAAACAATATATACCTACATTTGTAGTTTTGTAAATTGGTTTGCTTAAAGAATAGGCCTAGTGTATTTGACAAAAAATTAGCTTATCAGACAGGCCAAAATTATGTTTTGACCCTCGCTAAGACTTGTTAAAAAAATCAAGTGATTTAGTACTTTGTTTCGGAACCATTCCTTGAATTTTACCCCAAAATTTTTGATTCACCAACATCAAGAGTACTGATTCAATGAAGGTTACCGATTTATCAGTGTTGATGAATTTAAGTAGGCCTATCTTATTATAGCTGTAAGCTGTCAGTATCTTACAGGAAACAGGAAACTTGATACTGACTCACCAACTGACCAGTGACAGTGGGACTTTGCATACTCTAAAGTAAAATCAACAACTATTTCCTAACTGCCTTTATAACACATCATCCACTAGGACCTACTATTTTAATAAAAAAGTTAACAAATTTATTTGCTTGGCTTAAACATGTTTTTTGCTTCCATCTTAATTGCACAACGTACATTGGCAATTGCCAACAACTCTGGGCTAAAATCACATTGTAAACAATAAAATAGGTACAAAAATCGTAACTTATATTTTTTTTAGAGAGTGTAAAAATAATTATTTTTGCTCTATACTCTTTTATAACTGTTTATTTTGTAAATGAGCAAATAAATTAATCTAGAATAGAATCTCAAAACCTTTTTCAAAATTTGATGGTTTTGAGATTTGAATTTTGGTTTCCGCACATTACAAGTTACTTATGAAAAGAAATTTAAACATGAGTGCCTTTTGAACAACTATGAGATCAGCAAACATTTTAAATTTATTGTTAATCTCCATTTCTGAACAATATGTAGAAAACAACTTCATTATTAAATGGTTTAATACCTGTCCGTCAGTGATCCTACTGTCTTCTAAAAGGTGGTCAGTTTTAAGATTAAAATCTTATCTTCAGGGTATTTTAATGTAATTTAAAGTGAAGTTGATGACATGAATAGCCCACAGAGAAGTAAGATAATAAGGGCGGAAATATACTTTTGACAAGCAAGGAAGAGCTTGAACGGCGAGCACTGTGCAGAAATTCCTATCACACAGGGCCTTCCTCTACCGTGAGTGTACATGATGACAAGGGGGCGGAAGGGGTCATTGCGCTAGACAGCACTTAAGCGTACCATTTACTCTGTATCTTACTTCTCTGTGAATATCCTGACAGAGAAGATTATTTTAATCTCATAACCAGTTGTCTTTTAAACAACAGTAGGATCACTGATGGACAGGTTAATTAAACCATTTAACTCTAAAAGTTATCCTGGGCCAATAAGCACCACTTTGTTATTCAAACCAATATATTTTTTTTTTATTAATGTCACCTTTTTATTAATAGATTTGGATACAAGTCCTTGAGTGAAACAATGGAAGTTTGGAACAGGACCAGAAACGCCGGGATTCCTTTGGTATGTATCTTTTACTCACCCAACTGTAAACCAAAGCTTGATAGGAAAGATTATCATCAAATATTTAGGGTAATTTATCTGTTAAATGAAAACATGGGATATACTTAATGGTGGTGGTGAGTCAATGCTCAGTCAGTAGCAACGAACTGTCAACCAAGGCGGTGACATCTTGCATTTGCATACCAGTACCACCAAAATCAATCAGTACAGTTAATTTTCATTCTGTTTCGTCAAAATCAAATTTAAATCAAATTTCCAGGACCTCTCTTTCGGAAAGATAAAATATTGGCATTAGGAAACATAATATTCATAAACAAGTTTGACTTAATTGAAATGTTTCTTTTACTTTCTACCCCTATACATAGTATATGGAGAAAGTATTGTTTTCGTAAAAAAATTTTGAGTTTGAGTTTTAAGTGGATATATTCATATTGGGACCCCCTTAACAATAAAAGTGGTTTTGGTTTTTGAAGTGATGTCTGTCCGTGTGTGTGTGTCTGTATGTCTGTATGTGTGGATGTGTACAGAGCTACATACCACAACTATCGTCCGATTTTTATGAAATTTGGTTTGTAGCACGAATACTAGAAAAGACCGGGTATGGATAATAAACAAACATAAACAATTGACGTTTTGGCCGAAAAGTAAAAAAAAAACCATAAAATAACAGAAATTTTTTTATTGAAAATGGCCAAAACGATTTTGATAAAAATTTAGCATGTTGTAGCCCTTTAAATTGTAAACAAAATGGTGGAACTCCATTTCCTGTAAGAATTAAGGTTCAAAAGTTATTGTAACTTATGTTATTTTCCCATAAAAACCCATGAAAAACGGAAAAATGGATTTTAAAAAAATAGTTCTGATTGTAATTTGTCTGGTTATGGTCTTTATAATTCTAAACAAAATAGTGCATCTCCCCATTCCTTTAAAAATTACAGTTCAAAGTTAATGCAACATTTGTGATTGTTCCTATTAAATATCATAATTAGGCGGACTCTCATCGCTTCACCGTGATAAAGGTTTTGACAAGCTAATGGGAGAAAGTATGTGTCAGATTGCTGATGCCAACCATTTATTTTTCCTAATACATGTAAACATTTTTTTGAGAGTGGATAGGAGGGGGGATCATAATTCCAGGTAGCTTACAGTTCGGCACCTCATTTTTTTACAAATCGAGCAATGGAAAACCCATATAGGCTAATGCATTTTGGGAATTTAATATATGAATTCAACCACTATAAATAAGTTCAGCTTTACTAACTAGTCACCTTGAAAAATTATACAATAGCCTATAACAAAACAATAAATATAGTTCATCACATAGGACAAATATTTCTTCAAGTTCTCAGTTTCCTAGTTAAACTTGAGTTTGGGTCGAAAAGTGTCACTTTTGGCTCTAGTAATGAAATTAAGCTCTCTTTTTAAAATGTTCTTCTTGAGTGCTTCAAATCTGTTTTGTCTAAATTTAGTAATTTAACAGAACGTTTCTTTCTCAGCTAACTTGTAACTGTAATGTTGAAGGACACCCAATGGAACGACATAGACTACATGGTTCGGCGCAATGACTTCACATACGACCCTGTAGCTTATAAGGGACTGCCGCAGTTTGTTGACTTACTGCATAAGGTGAGGCTTTTACAAAAAGTGTAGAAGTTATTTTTGTAATTTCAGTAGTTTTACAGATTCACTCATATCAGCTAGATAACAAATTATATGTTCCTGTGACACCAGACGTACTCTTAGGAATCTGAAATTTGGATTAAATACTACCGAAGAAAAAGATAAATTGAATTGAATAAAAATTACCATACTTTACCTTACCTCCTTGGCCACTCAAACCTAAGAAGGTTTTTGGCCTCATCAACAAGTTGTCTACACTGCTGCCAGTTTGCCGCTGAGTCCATTCGGTGTAGATCCCTCTGTACTTGTTCTCTCCATCGGAACTTTGGTCTTCCCAATAGTCAAGTGCCTTGTGGTTGTCTATTTGAGACCCTTATGTAAGCTATCTCCTTTTCTTCTTTCCACATGACCTGCCCATCCTAATCTTCTACTCTTTACTGTTGCCACAATGTCAGGATCTTTATACCATTCTCGGAGCTTATGGTTTTTTCTTATCCTCCACACACCATCTTCATTTTTATTGGTCCAAAAATCTTCCTTAATATTTTATTTTCTAATGATGATAAAATTAGTATGACAAAATCAGTTTTCTTGCCAACTATCTCTAACCTAACAAATTTGTTATTGAGGCCTTGGAGATTTTACAAACTAACCCGTAAGTAAAGGGGACAAGTAGTTTACTAATAAACAAGGATTACTTGACAGACTATTACTTCAGGTAATATCAACTTTTTTTTGCCCCAGGTCCTTGATCCCAGGTAAACTTGAATTATATTTGTTTTTACTGGGGAGGGATTTTTGGGAAAAACTAAATTTCCAATCATTGGTACGGGATTAATTCAGGATTTTCTGAGGTTAGGATTTGTTTTGGACTGTCAGCGATTTTAAATTTTTCGAATGACAATGACGACGCCTTCCTGATCACGGCTTAAGTTGATGGTATGGTGAGTGATGAAGATGTCTCCACCCTTTCAGGATATGTTCTCGGTGGCGTTTTAATCTCTGAATGTTCCTTAGTTAAATTGCACCATATATGTAATTTTTGCTCAGGTAACAGCATTTTCTTACCTAGGTACCCATTATTGGTTTTTATAGATCCATGCCATAGAGACTGCAAATTGGTTTCTTTTGCAATCATTACCATCTGCAAGAATGTTTAATCAAGATTGTTAAAACAACACCTTTTTACTCAGAGGAAAAATATTTTAGGGGAGGAATCCCATCCCATCCTGAACTAAAAAAAAATACAATGCCATCTATCTTTAGTTAACACTACTACTGTATTTATATATTTACACATGTCACTGATATTGTGGTCTGGTCAAATGAGTAACAGGAAGACGGACACCTGGCAAAGTCATGTGAGGGTAGGTCTTTCTTCCTCCATTTCATTTCTTGGACTGGGGGTGTTGGAATTTGGAGCGTTCGACAGTTATGAGTAGGGACTGGAAAAACAAACCCACAAACAAAACGCAACTCACAATAATTTGATTCCCTCACCAGTTCTATCATTATCAAATGAATCCACACTATTGAACTGACAATGCTGCAAACACAACAACAAATTGGCAACACCAAAAGATCAAAGCATTCACCCGGACATAAACTGTTGTCACGTTACCCGCTCGACCCGACTGCAATATCACTGACATGACATGTTGAATATACAATAGTGTTAGTGATACGATGATAGCTTAAGAAGACCCCCTGAAGATGACACACAAGATGGTGAAATGTACATGGTAAAATACAAACTACTAGCTCAAGTAGGCAGGCAAATAAAGGTAATAACTAATATAAAACTATTTTCTATCCATTTATTACAGTTATCAAAAGGCTAATCTAACATGGAAATAAAATTATGTTTGCATCCGGTGTGTATCCCTAATGACACATCATAATCTTACTTTATTTCTTTGTTATGTATTATCTTTTAGCCTAATTTTCTGTTGATCTAACTAACTTATCTGTTTGCAGGAGGGCATGCACTACATGATAATAACTGACCCTGGAGTCAGTGCGGGTGAACCATCTGGAACTTATCCACCTTATGATGAAGGGTTGAAAGATGGAGTCTTCATAATGGATCCCTCGGAAGATAAACCATTCATAACAAAGGTAAACCATCTGCTCGGTAGTTGAGGTTTGCTCTGGGACCTTTAAAGTATTTAAGCTTTTAACTGTTTTAGCATCAGTTATGTGTCTTTTAAGAGTTCTACAGTCGAAGCAACAATTACTATTCAAGTTTTAACTGTCGAAGCAATTATTACTTATTTTGACAATACCATCCATTAAGTATTAAAAACACTTAAACTATCCATCTGACAAATAACTTGTTTATGACAACCTCAATTTCATCACCCTGTGAAATGATACCGAGGTTTTTCACAAATGCTCGGCTCGGTCAAAAATCTCAGTTCTCACACCTCTTGTTTTAAATGTACAAGATCCATCTGAATTTGATACAACTGAATTTGAATTTGTAATACTCTTGTTATATTGAAATTTAATACTTTAAGGTATGCTTTTCAATTTAGGAAAAATCTATCTAGTAAACTAACTTAAATCAATGTTGGAATTAAAGTAGAGTCAGTACCTACTAATAAAAAAACCCAACAATTTCAATATATTTTTGCTTTTTACAGGTGTGGAACGACAAAGCCACTGTTTTTCCAGACTTCTTCAATCCAAAGACTGATGCTTATTGGACCCGTCAGATCAAGCAGCTTCATGACAAGTTTGCTTTTGATGGTCTTTGGATTGTAAGTAATCATATCCTACCATATTATATTCATTTAGAGTATTTCAGGGCTGTGCGAATCCAGAAATTTTGGATCGAATCCGAATCCGAATCATAGCTGTACAGATTTTATCGAATTCGGATCGAATCCGAAAATATTTTAATTAATCCCGAGTCGAATCTGGGTCGAATCCGAATCTCAAATTTACAGCCATTATCGAACCTGGATCGAATCCGAATCTGAAATTTAAAGCTGTTATCGAATCCGAATATTTAAACCTGTTCAGAGTCGAATCCAAATCCGAGGAAAGTCAGCAGTACCAATTTTCACATTTTTAGACCACATTTTCATTTAATATTTTAAAGTGTAATGGATTAAATAATACTAAACATCAAACGTTTTACTTCATTTTTTCAAGCATATTTCCATTTTCAAGCATTTTATTTCTTTAGGACATGAACGAACCCTCAACAGAGTGGAATGGAGGCAAAGACGGATGTCTAGCTAACCCTCTAGACAACCCTCCATACCTGCCCCGAGTGCAGGGTGGACAATTGTATTCCAGAACAGTGTGCATGAGCGCCAGACATTACAGTGCAAAACACTACGATGTGCACAACATTTTTGCAACACAAGAAAGTATTTTAACTGTCAGGTCAGTGAGCTTATTTGTTAAATATTTCTAAGTCAGTACTACGACTTAAATCGTCACCACTTTTGTGTTATTAGTGATTTTTTGGGGTAGAGTAGGTGATGGGTGAGGGCTGTAGGAAGGATGGTGCAGGGTCAATTTCTGTACCTTTCTAAAAACTGTGTTTTAGTTACACAAGCAAAAGTTTAAGCAAAACTAGGATGTGAGCGAGTGTTGATTCGAGGCGCCGTCAGCTGACCTACTTGGCTATTGTAATATGCTAGTAGCACTGGCTCTGCCAGCCATGGCGGTTTTTGGACCGAAAATGGTTCGTGTCCACCTGTTCTGACGCCATTTTTAATCAAATCTTGAAATTTGGCACCCTAATTTTAAAAACTTCAGCACACAATTCCCAATATTGTACTTTTTGCACATTTAGGATTAAAAAGGAATATTACTGAAACTAACATTATGTTTTACAGACATATCAATTAACAGGGCTGGGACGAACATTTTGTTTTTAAATACATCAATTAAAACATGGAAATTTAAAAAAATGCGTTTTTAGCTTTTTTCAGGGTTGATGAAGATCTTTAGCGCTTGTATTGCAAATAAGGTAGGCTATAGTAGGAACAATTTGGTGAGTAATTTACAGGATTTTTTGAGTTAAGAACGACGGAAACCAAGAGCAATGTGGTGAGTTTGAGTTTTGGTCCTAATACTTATCAGGACAGTTTGTTCTTGTACCTTGCTTCGAATGAAAACATTTCACTCACAGGTCTCAGGCCAATCAGGGATAAAATGTCAAATGAAATAACTTGATCAACTAAACCCCTCTTGTTGATGAATTGTTTTAAAGTTTTTACTTTCATACTATTGCTGGTTTTCAAACTTACATTTATGTTGTAGGGCTTTAAAAACAGTAAGAAAGAAGAGAGCATTTGTCATATCTCGGGCATCGTACCCTAGCCAGGGTCATTTTACAGGAGTATGGACAGGAGACATCAGTTCTACTTGGGATGATATGGCTCACTCTATACCAGGTATTAACACATAGGCTCTCTAGTTGTATATTATACTAGCTATCCTGACAGACGTCGTCCTGTCCAAATGTGGTTTTATGTCAATGCTCGTTCATTTTCAAGATGAGCTCGTTCGCATATGGCTCAATCAGGTCCTGGTTAAAGTTAGTTTGCTACGCTTACTCACCTTTAGGTTGGAGCTCAAAAAAATAATGAAGTTTTTTTTCTTTTAATTTGAAAGTTGTTGTTGTGTTGAAGGAATGTTTAACATGAAATAAGCACATCGACTAAGTAATAAACGATTCAAGAATAAATGGAAAACATATGCTTTGTTTTGATTTTAAAACATATGTTAAAGATTTATTCTACACCTTTTTTGAAAATTTACTAACTTTTATATTTGAGATTTATTGTGTTTAGGCTAATCAATATTTTGTATAAAGTGGAATAACCTCAATGGCCACTTTTAGAAAACAACTTGGGAATAAAGATGAAATGGGTTTGTACAGGTTGTTCATTAGGTAAATACTATGAAAAGGGCGGAAAAACTATATTGTTTGGAGGAGATTTTAACCAGGTACTACCTGTTGCTCCAAGCCAAAAAGGTTAAAATAATATAGCCTAGCATGCACGACAGTAAAGGGAGCATCCATATATAACAGTAAAACCTAGAGGTAGTTTTCGTTTCTTAAAACTAAAACTAACCAAAAATATGCATGTAGAAGATGCTGATGAAAAATAATTTCCTGATTGGTTTTGATAACTGGATGATGGAAACCTAACCATTCGCAAAATAGTTAGTAATCAGGCGTTGATTATGACCTTTTTTGATAAAAATATGTAAAGTCAATCGCACCTTTAGTAGGAATACCACCACATAAACTTACACTAGGCTAATAGTAGTTTTTTTTAAATGTTGATCAGAAAAAAATCTAGGGTTAAGTTTGGTAAATGGGATGCCTTTACTTTACACTAATGTTGTTAAACCTTTACAAAATGAACATAAACTTAGAAATAATAACTGGGTTGGGGTGCTAAATTAGCGGTTTTGACCAAGAACTAAGCTTATCTCAACACACCTTTATTTGCCTTTTCACATTTGACAAAGAAAATTTCCAATATTTAAATCAGGGAAGCTTTTTTATCATCACTAACCAAAAGACCAAAGCTACCTTACCAAATTAAGCTACAAGTATGGCTGTGTCCGCAAATGTGTTATGGTTTTTTGCAGGCTAGCTTTAAGGTTTCAGATAGATAAGTATAGTTGTGTTTAGTTTTAATTTTTTACCATCACTAATTTTGTATTGTACATTATTTTGTATTATTAATATATAGAAAACGAAAACAGTTCGTTTAGGTGGATTAAACAAGTTAAAAAATTTATTGTTTGGATATAGGGTCATTTGAAAACGGAAAGAGTTACCTCACCTGAAACGTAGTGTAGTTCAAAATACTAATGATTGGAATATTCCAATTATTTTACCTTACCTACCTACCCTGGCTCAAGTAACAGATTCTGTGACCAATTGCAGACATCCTGAGCTTCAGTCTGTTTGGAATTCCCATGTCCGGGGCTGACATTTGTGGATTCAACCAGAACACTACTGTGGCTCTGTGTAAAGCATGGAGCCAACTTGGGGCCTTCTATCCGTTCTCCCGCAATCACAACTCAATTGAGAACTTCGTAAGTCAAACCGTTCTTAAATTATTATTTAGATAATATTCTATTTAATGGACTAATCAATCTACTCAGCATTAATTTAATGTGCTGGGTAGCTGAGTGGTCAATTTACTCCTCTACTTGTTGGAAGGTTGCCGGTTCTTCGGAAAAGTCAATACTCAATAGCTTTTTAACTTTAGTTAAAAATTGTGAGTGTTCCAAGTCCAAAGAACAAATTAATTAACTTGACCCAGCCGTTCTTAATATATTTACCGGTTTATTTCACTCGATTGTATACAACAGTAATGGCGTTTTGACTCAAAACATAACACTAAAACTCTCACTTGTTGTTTACTAATATTTTTGTTTTCCAAAACAGGTTAGGTAACCAAAGAAACTAAAAATACATGCTTTAAAACTTAACAGATAGACAGAAAAAATTATTGACTTGACATGTTCGATCCCTCTGAATAATGTAGAACTAGTGAAAAAAGTCCAGGATGGAACAGTTCCATCAAGGAATGTCGGTGCGCATTAGCGGCGGGATTATAATGATCCATCCGCCAGTGGTTTAAGAAAATAAGGCTTAGCGTCCCTAGAAATGTAAATGAGATACGGTACAGGAGGTTTTAATTTTTAATTAAATCAGTCTCCTTTTTCAGCTCACCTTAAAATCTATCTCTACACTATTTTTTAGTGAATTTTATTGTGCCACTTGTTGTTATTGTATTGTTATTTTGTTGTCAGGACCAGGACCCAGTAGCACTAGGCCCTGAAGTGGTAGATGCCGCAAAGAAAGCCCTTCTCACTAGATATTTCTTCCTGCCATATCTCTACACATTGTTTTGGCATGCTCATAATGAGGGTGAAACTGTTGCCCGCCCCATGCTTGTTGAGTAAGTTGCAAAATAATATGGCTGAAGTCACAATAAATTCTGAATATGGATGTGTATGCATAATTGTACGAGGTTTTGTCGAGTATATTGTACTTAGAGTGCGGTGGTGGGAGGGGTTCGTGGTGGGCATAGTTCTGCTCTACACAAGACGCCATTTCACTAACTTACTATGGAACAGTGGGACTTTGTTTGATTCGTACAACAGACGGCTGGAATAATAACAGAATAATAACAATTTAGGTTGTTTTTACTTTTGAAACTCATTGATGAAAATGTTAAACAAAACGGAAACTTCCTTTAAGAAGTTTTGGATGCTTTCATATTCAAATTTAGGTTTAGAATATTATTATTTCTTATAAATAACCAAGAAGCTTTAATTCATTTGGCTATAAGTGACACAGTAAAATGCAATAAGGACAGTAAAAACGTGTATCTAATAAGTTAGTGAAAACAATTTAAGTTGTTAGAAAACAAATATCAATGCAAGATCAATGTATTATAATTGTCTGCTGACCAAATTTTTATCACATTGTTGATGTAGCAGTTTCCTTTGTTATTTTCAGATTCCCCAAAGATGAGAAAACGTACAACCTCCATAGTCAGTTTCTGTGGGGATCAGGCCTTTTGATAGCTCCAATGCTTTCAGAGGTTAGTTCATCAATATGCCATCACTGTTGATTAGTGATATGTGCTAAACAGTTTATTTTGAATTAATTATGAGGTTGAGGCAAGACAACACTAAATAAACAGGCCGTAAGGCTCCTCTGGCATGACGTCATCATAGGCGACGGCAATGACGTAATGTTATTTTTTTAGTTATATTTTTGTTTTCTAAGAAAAGATTAAAACAAGCAGCTGATCACAAACGGCAAAAATTACGTCATTGCCGTAACCTACAATTATGTCATGCCTGAGGAGCATTACGGCCTGTTTAATTAGTGTTGCCTTGGTTGAGGGTAGGTCTAGTTGCAAGTTGTAGAACGAGGGACAATCAAATCAATCTTTATTGTTACAAGTAATTCAGTAGCATTTATATCACGGAAAAAAAATATCACATGGCTTCTGCCTCTGCGTGATAAGAGCAGCATCTAAGAGCATTAAAAAATACCCCACCGCAGCAAACCTGCAGACTAAGTAAATTTATATTTGCCTGGTTGGATTTACTCAAATATTTCCTTAAAGTTGTCAGATTTGCTCACTATATTTAAATAACATTAAGTTTAATGAGTAGGTTTGCTGCTACAGTGAAGCTAATAAAGTATGTTTTCCTACAGTCACCCGACAAAGTTGGCTTCCTTGTACTGTTTATAGTACAGAAAGCTGCTAATTGCTGCATATTTATTTTTTGTCGTACGGTTTATACTTTGGCGCACATCAGGATTCCAACGAAACAACACAAAACAGCGTGGTTCTATTATGCACGTATTCCGTGTACGCTTGGAAATAGGTTTGGCAACACTTAAAGATAATAATACAGGGTGCGGCAGAAAGAACTCCCCTATTAGGAAAGCTAATAAAAACAAAACCAAGTAAGATATGACATTTTTATTGCTATTAACCAAAAACACACATTATGCCATTAAAAAAAATATAAAATTATAGTGCTTTAAATAAAATGTTGTTTTAATAATCGATAATTTAAAATTATCGTGTTTTAAATAAAATGCCATTTAAATGGCGGCCTCCAGTGTTAACACATTGGTTCAAACGTTCCCGGTAGTTGTCCATTACCTTCCGGGTCATGTCGGGTGAGATGGCTGCAACTTCATGCCTTATTATTTCCTTCAGGGCTTCCAAACTTTGAGGGCGATGTTCGTATACCTTAGACTTTAGATAGCCCCACAAAAAAAGTCACACGGGCTCAAGTCTGGCGATTGCAGTGGCCATCCGATGTCACCGCGCATTGAAATGACATGGCCAGGAAACATTTCCTTGACCAATGTCAATGATTGACGGGACGTGTGTGAAGTAGCACCATCCTGCTGGAACCATACATTGGCCCGAACAGGAAAGATAACAGCGAGTTTTGGCTGCAAAAAAGTACGGAGCATCGCACAATAACGCTCGCTGTTCACAGTCACAGTCGCGCCATTTTCTTCAAAAAAGTACGGCCCAATTATAGCCCTCAAAGTTTGGAAGCCCTGAAGGAAAGAATAAGGCATGAAGTTGCAGCCATCTCACCCGACATGACCCGAAAGTTAATGGACAACTACCGGGAACGTTTGAACCAATGTGTTAACACTGGAGTCCGCCATTTAAATGACATTTTATTTAAAACACGATAATTTTAAATTATCGATTATTAAAACGACATTTTATTTAAAGCACTAAAATTTTATATTTTTTAAAATGGTTCAATGTGTGTTTTTGGTTAATAGCAATAAAAATGTCATATCTTACTTGGTTTTGTTTTTATTAGCTTTCCTAATAGGGGAGTTCTTTCTGTCGCACCCTGTATTATGAGCAGCTGATTGACTATTACAACTATGATTTAACCTGTCATTTCATGTTTATAGTTTCGGTATTTCTGAACTTTCTGGACTTTTCTTTCAAACGTTTTTAAAACATTCCTACGATCTTAATAAACAAAAAAATACCTTTAAAGCATTTTTTTAGGCGCGGAAACCACTTCAAATTACAAAAACATACGGAACTATATTATCATGTCGCGGAGCACATTTCTTGCCGAGGAAAAATAGCGGAGTGATACGGACCGGGTACTACTTTCTCTAGGGCACCTATTTGTGTTGCCAGCTGAACCTAAAAACGTGTTGTATAGTGTTTGAAAGACTAATTATTTATATGCTTTATAGTGACTGTAGGAAAAATATAATGTGTAACAGGAGTGCAAAAGGCCTTTGCTGCACTCGAGATCATTCATATTCATCATTCGAGATTCATTTTTAAATATTGCTCTCGTGTGCAGCAAAGTGCCACTTTGCCCACTAGTTACACAAATAACTATTTATTAGTAAAATGTTGACAGCTTATTATGAAATAACAAAATTTTCCAATTTTGATAAAAACATGTTCATTAACAAGCAAATGACAACAGTTTACTCTATTATTTTTCAGAGTTATATGGGAATTTTAAATTTAATATATTTTTTTTAATTTTCTCTATAAATATTTACTGTACAATAACTCTTCAGTATTCTAAATTATTTAGCTAAGTTATTGTGCTAAAGGACACATATAAAAATATATTAATTTTAATGGATGGTGTTTTTGGACTTTGGGAACCTCAAAACAAGAAAGTAAAGCAGTCCCAGATCTAGTTCTAGAATGAGACCTGTGGTAATCTCTTAATCTCTGTATGGGAAATTTGCTTAAAGAGTGAGGTCTCTCATTCAAGCACACGTCCTCTGTATTGTACAACTCCGTCAAGAAAATGCCATGAGATATTAATTCAATGTCGTTTCTTGTTGCTTTTGGGCTTAATTTAATTTAAGATTCATCTCCAATTAACTTGTTTACTGATTTAAACACATCTCTTATAAATAAAAAAAATATTCCTTGGTTACAGTTCATTTTGGTTCATGTTCACAAGTTTATTGTGAACATTTTCCTTCTCAATTAGTAAAAACAAAACTAGTTTTTACGTTTCGGAATCTGAAATCTGATCCTATCATCAGGTAAGATAGCACAGCACCCAAACTAAAACTAGCTTTTGCTGGGTTTCTGTACTAATCTCATTATGTTTTAGTTTAGGTATTTCCTCACCTGGGGTCGGAATCAGATTCCTGATGTCAAAACAAGATATCTTGCTTTACCCTAATCATGATAGATATATTACTGTTGTTCACACTGCAAGACTCAAGTTTAGGGTTGTTGTAGGAAAAGGGATATGCCACAGCTTATTTGCCGGCTGGCCGCTGGTACAACTTTTACTCCTTCAAGCAGATTGTAAGCAAGGGAAGCACATATTTGCTAGACACACCTAGCGATTCCCTCCCACTTCTACTAAGGGGTGGAAGAATAATTCCCGGCCAGAAGCCCAACACTACCACCACAACCAGGTAGTTATTTTCCTTCGTTTTAGCAGCCTGTGTAGAACTTTTTATTTTTGTCTGTGTCAATCATGTTTTTGGACAGAATTTACCAGTGGTTTTGCTAATACTGTGAAGCCCTTCACTGGGTAGGAGTCTCAGCAAAGTGTCTGGTAGTAATTGATTGGCAGCGGTTAACACAAAACTAAATTGAGAGGTTAGTTAGGCTACCTAGACACCAGAGTCCTGCTAATCTGAACTACAGTAATTGAAACCGGACCCTATTCATATTAATTACCAAATTTGTTCAGATTAGCCAGATATGAGGTTAAATTTGATGACAAATCGAAATAATGTATTTTAATAGCTCTGAAGTTTTATTAAATACTAGAGGTTGTCCAGTGGTCGAAAACTCAACCAAAAATATGTAATGTACTATCTTCTCTATTTTTACCCCACGCTGTAAATAAAACATGTGATTGGAAACACTTCTATTTGTTTTGATTTTCTGTTTATATTTAATCATCAGCATAGAAATCCATAAGGCCCATGTTAATTTTTTTATTATTTTTAAACTCATTTTTAGTGCTTATTTATGAGCTTTTTTTTATTCATAAATATATTCTGCACATCTACAGGATATTTTTTTAATAGTATGCGTAGATTTTCCCTACGATGCACACGGGCTGGGAAAAAATGTTTTAAAGAAACATGCTTGCCTATTAATATATTGATATTGCTTCTGCCATCATAATATTTTCCCCTGCAATCAGAGCAACATTGTGATCACTTACCGTGATCGTGGAAATATCTGTTTTCATAGACTGTTATTGCAGAAAAACCTGTGACCATTTCCCGCAGTCAACTTGTGTTTATGACTAGGATGACTTCAAAAGTAAAGCAACAGGACGCCATTTACAGATGGATACTCGGTTGATGCTAAATTACAAATAAATATGTTTGTCTATTGTTGATAGTTCCAAATTCGACGTACTATTCACAGACTTATTGCCAGTTATTTTAAATTCACATACTATTGTTGGTTTTCTAAGTTTCCCAGTTGGCTGGACTCCCTGGTCAGTATTGCAGAACACATAGCTTTATTTTTAGTTCAAATACAGTGTATTTTTTCCCACAGGTGGTTTGGATTAGTCTTAATTAGTACTCTGGTACTGGTGCATTTATTCAGTTTTAGATCAACATATTTGATTGAATTTTACCCACCTTAAATTCTACTTGAAATATTTTCTACTTCAGAGAACTAAGGAACATTCAAACCTGAAAATTTGTTTAGTTACTTCAGTAAACATAAATATTCAAACTGAAACTTATAGTATACAAATAAAATAAAATCAAAATCTCTTTTATTTCGTTTAAAATAATCATTATTTACAGTTATTACAAAATATATACAAAAATATTTTATCAGCTTCCCAGTTTATTCCTTTGGTTGCCAGAAACAAGTTTTGATTGTCAGCCCTAAAAAATTAATTACATTTCAGATTTTCTTTGTGGTTGTGGAATATTAGCAGCTTAGTGAACAGAGCTTACCTCATTTTCAGAAGTTTATTGTAAGAAGGTTTTATGGTAAATACAGTCCAAAATGGATCCGATCTATTCTTGTGAGTTTTTATAATTGATTCATTCAATAGAAGGTAGATTCCAGTTAGTAACTATTTTACATTTATCTTTATATACCTAAAATGACTCTCTATGGTATGTCTGCCTTGTTCTGTAATTCACTTAACATAGATAAAAGCACCATAAACAGACCTTCCAACTCTCCCACATTATCTCCCACTCCCGCTCTCCCGCTTTCGGTAGAAAAACTCCCGCATATCTGATACAATACAAATTTACATACAAAACAGGGAAATCTTTTGGAAAATCGGGAATTTTTTGCAATGTGTGATGGAGAGTGATTTGGACGAGCAACTAAGTATAGTGGATCTTTCAAATACAAAACAAGATATAAAAATGAATGGACCGTTCAATGTCCCTTTAACTTTCCTAGTGTGCTATTTGCTATTTTCAATAACTTTTGTACGTTTTTGGATGATATGAAATGGAAAAAAATTAATATTTAAAACTATTTATACATTAGTAAAAAATGGTTAAACCCCTGTTTTTTAGGCTTAAATTTTCAAAATGTTTCTGGGGAAGGACCCCCACACCCTCCTGCAGCGGGGGGGGGTCACTTCTGCCTGAAATTCCTCCGAAGTTGACAGGTCTGCCATAAAGAACTGCTGTTATGTGTTTTCTATGGGTTTCAGCCGACTCAACCCCATGGCTCTACTAGTGTCTTTATGTGATCATAACATGGCTCATGGTGACCTATACTGGGATGATGGGGATTCTTATGGTAAATATTGATACTTCCCAAAGTGTTAGGTTATGTATTATAGTAGATCTTGCATTATAACTGTTTGCCAAGTTTATTGTCTGGAAACTCTGAATCTGGGGTGCTTGATTATTTGTGACCATCACAACCAAGTAAAAAATATAATACAATTTCATACTTATGCCAGACTTGTAGATTTGTGTCTTGGAGAATTTTAGCCTATTTGTATCCATCCAATTGGTATATTTAAAGAGATATTTTGGTATTATGTAATAATAAATAATCATAATATTTTAGTTTAGTTTTTAGAAGTTGGTTTATTTTTTGTTTTAACTTTGTTTTATTTTCACTGGCAACTTAGGGCAATTTCTTTAGGTTTAAACTCAGACTCTGTGGGACCTAGGCTGGGTCAATCTAACTCTTGTTTGTTTCAGGTTCTCTTGTGTAGCCCTGTAGGTAAACAGTGTGAGGCTACTTAGTTTATCTACTCATTTTATTGCATTTTTTGTAGTTTAAAGCCCACAGAGTCACGTCACAATTTACAAGTAGTGTTGTGTCTAGTAACACTTTATTTTGTACTGAGCTCTGATTAACTGAGAATACCAAGTCCTAAGACTATTCTAAATCACTATCGACTTCTGGGAAATCCCAGCACCCCGACTCGTGCAATTCCTGGGACTTTATCGATTGTTTAGGTGGCAAAATTCCCTGCACTACCATTCGAGTTTTCGCCAGCAGGAAATTTGCGTTACAATTACAAGTGGTTTCAAGCCAGCACTATGAACAGTGCAAAAACTCTACCGTTTCATTTGCATATGGTTGAATAGGTAGGGCGTTGAACATTTTATGTTTTTGACAGTCCACATTTAAACATGTTGGGACTGTGTTTTTCATCCGGCGCAAATAGCGCAAATTCGTGCTAAGTTTGCCACCTAACAAATTCATGACGGAGTTAAATTTTGGATTAATAAATTACGCTAAATTAAGGTTTACAATACCTGTGCTACTGGGTTACAATACTGTTTACAATACTGTTTACCTGTGCTATTTTCAAACAATCTTGTCCAGTTAGTGCAACTACAGCTGTTTCGCTCTCAATATAAGTACAAGTACATCAGGTCCAAAAATGTCAAACAACATCAACTTGGATGGATAGGGAAACTTGACGTTGTGACCTTTACTACACAAGAGGTACTATAAATCTGAACTTTTCTTAACAAATGTATTTATCAAGGATGTAAAATAGAGCACAAGGACCTTGGTTCCAAGGATTATATTTGTACACAGGCTTAACTGGATGGGAAATAGTCCACTAAAAAATAAAACACTAGACACATTAAATCAACCTTTCTTGGTGAGAATAATTTCAAAACTGTTAATTTGTGTGTATAGGTTAAATTGTTGTTTCTTGGTCTTCAGTGGGCTCTTTTCCACTCAGGTAAGCTTGCTATGGTATTCAAATAAATGTAATTAGTTGCTAGTATTTTACTGTTACACAAACACCATCCATTGCTGAACAGTTTGTAAAGTTCTAATTTTCCCAGATTTTGAAACCGGAACGTACAACTTCCTCACCTTTAAGGCGACGGGTTTGAATGTAAGCAGCACAGTCGAGCATTGGAGCTATAAGACGAGGCTGGTACTGGGAGAAGTGGACGTGTTGGGTGTTCCAAGCGATGTGAGAAAAGTTATAGTCAACAGTAAGCCTGCCAACTTCACTTTCGACAAGGTCATAAAGGTATGGTAAATTTAACATTTGAAATCCACCAATATTGATAAATTTAAATATATGAAGGTTAACATACCTGTACCGTGTCCATCCTCAGTCTTTTTGAAGGACACTCAAGGATTAAGCGACCCTTCTTTCAGTAATTTTTTACAAAATGCCACTGGCATTGACACTAACAAAATTAATTGTCTGTGCTATTTTGTTAGTTGTATTACAGCCCGTGACATCTAGGCTGACACTTGACTGATCACTACTAGTATCTAGTTCAAAAATATTATATGCCATCATGCGTGTTGTGTCAACTGTCCTCGCGACCCTCCTGAAGGCGTACGTGAAACACGGAAGTCAACCCCGTGAGTCAGCAGAAATGTTTGCAGTCAGATCTTTTCCTTACTTCCACTCGCCTACACTGCCTGCGCTAGGCCAAGTGCCAGCTTATTTGTCAAGAGCTGTACAGTGTGGTATTATTTTGTGCCGTGTTTATAGTCTTGCATTTTTATTGTTACAGTTTCTACTTATACAAGATCTGTCCCTAGATATGAGTCAGCCGTTCACTATCTCCTGGTCTTAACCTTCTGTTTAATATTAAATACAGATAATGCTTTCTTTGTATTGTAAATCAATGTTTTTATTTACACTTGATAATAGATCTAAGTAATTTGTAAATTGACACTTACCTTTTTGTGGAATTAAAAATAGTATTTGATTAATATTTTGAAATGCCTCTAAAATGTTTGACGTGAAAATTGTAAACTTTTGTAGCAGCTAACTGCTTTGATAGATTTATTTTGGGACTATAAAGAAAAACATACGATATTAAAGCTAGAATGCATTTCTAACATTTCGGCTTTATTTTAAATACATCTTAATAAGTATAATAACATGCATTAAATATTCACAAGTTATCTATAATGTTATATTTATCATGTTTTTTTTGTTTTGTTTTTTTTCCTGGGATGCTAGGCACAAGCCTGGGATATTTATCATGTTAAGTCTACTGAAAATAAACCCAGAATATAAATAGATATAAAATATATATTTTTGTAATTTGACTATTAACTAGTATAGACTATTTTATTGCAATAAAAATATTTGTATTTATATTACTTTGTAAATATGTATTGTATTATGTAATCCAGAACATTGCGCACAAGGAAAAAAAATTAATTCACCACTCTTGTTTACATTACAATTTAGGACAATTAGGAAAGTGGTTTTATGGTTGTACAAACTTTTTTTATCGATTGTGTTAAAAATATCCATAGGTAGTAATTCTTCAAGCTAATTTGAACTTGCAATAACTTACAATCAAACAAACGTTTAACCATGAAATTTTGTCCTAAACATATTTTATAGCTAAATATTCTAGTCATTGTTTTGCATTTAAGGGGAAACTTGGCATAAAATGATTTTATAAGAAGCAAAGAACTGAAAGCTACGGAAATCACTGATACAATACGCAATGTCAATGTCAGTGTTCCAGTCATACAGGGATATGAAGTATTTGTTTACCATATATTGTATCAATAGCTAAAGCTTGTGTTTTGTTCAGAATTTGTTAAAATAACAGTTAACACCTTGAAACCGTCTAAACATACATGTTTGTCAAGGACTGTTAAAATGCACTACAAATAAATAATCCTAAATTAAAACTTAATCTGGAATAAGTACTGAAACATTCTTCAATGTATTTTTCCTAATAAAAAGCTATTTTTAGATATCTATATTAAAGGATTTCACATTTTCATATTCATTGCACAAACAATTTTTCAATTCATTTTTTATTTTTATTAAAAATGAAACTAGAAGTTAAGAAATAGTAAATACTTATTTTTATAATTTGCCATTTATGTTTAAAGTAATGCCATGTGGCCTATGTATAAATTATCTTTCATTATTGAAAATAATAAGACTGTGAAAATAAACTTTAATTGTGATATGACAAACTTATTTGATTTTTAACACCCATACCTTACTTACACTTAACTATATTACACCCTAATCTGCCACCTATGAGACAGGGACCATTGTCGTATCGGAACAGTGAAAAGGTCAAATTATCCAGGGAGCATATCAAATGACCAAAGTGCTGATTTTGTACCTGTGTGTGCGGGTGATGTTCAGTAGTTTGTTGCAATCGCCAAAGACGATGATTTTTCCATGATTGCTTTTGTCATGGATGACGATGATAATGTTCACGTGATCGTGGATGAGAATAATAATGATTCTGTTACCGCAAAAGATTTAGATTTGGCCACAATAGCTGAGGATGACAACAACATTTCCGTGGCTGCGGGGAGATAAACAAGATTTTTGTCGCAATTATGGGGGACAATGATGATGTCAGCTGAACTTCTGAAACTGCAATAGAAGTGTAGGTATTAAAAAGCTGAAGACAAAAAATAAGTATCTTTTATTTTGTTACCATCCTTCCAGAGGACAACCTTCTGTAAGTGGCATACAAGTTATTGTTTTAGATCACTTCCAGAACAAACAAAAATTCTCTTCACAATATAAACACCTAATTTACATAAGTCATATCTATAACTCAACTTTCTTCTTCATCGCATCTGTAACTCTGAACATAGGACCATGGCCGGGGACGATGTAGTTGGCCAATCTCAATACTTTGTTTCTATTCTCTTCTTGTCTTTCTGGACTTTGACTTCCTGCAACTGTCCGCCATAGTTCAGGATCTTCCAAATCTTCCTCCCGTTCAAACAAATCACCTGACACAAATAATTGCATTTGTAAATCTAAATTACTTTTACAAAATCCTAAGCCATGGTATAGAGATCTAATTTTGATGTTAGACAAATACTAAAATCAAAGGTATCAACCACGAATACTAGATCAGTCACGGTATGGATCGTAAATATAAACAAATGATATTAGTGGCCCGAAAGCAAACATTATTAATAACATTGCTTAAATTGAACTGTCTAAATCATATGTTAACGTTATTGGTACAGTCATAGACAAAAAGAATTAAATATAGACTGACAGCAGTGCTGCAATTAGCATAAGTTCTGGCGTCCACCACCAGGAGTACCGTGTATTTACATAGCAAGTGCGCCTTAACTACACGGCACTCATAGGCATAGACAAATAGAATTCAATATAGACCGACAGCAGTGCTGCGGTTAGCATAAGTTCTGGTGTTGCGTATTATGTGCGCCTTAACTACATGGCACTCCTGGTGGTGGACGCCAGAACTTATGCTAATCGCAGCACTACTGTGAACACTTAATACCGAGGGAAACAGACAAACCCCGCCTAAAAAACTGAATACACTTAATACAGAGGGAAACAGACAAACCCCGCCTAAAAAACTGAATACACCGAAACAGACAAACCCCGCCTAAAAAACTGAATACACCTAATACAGAGGGAAACAGATAAACCCCGCCTAAAAAACTGATTGAAAACAACAATCAATTCCACACTGGACCTGGGCCAAACAGCCTCTCTTATTCCACTCAGTGACGATGAAGATGCTGAATCCACCAAAACAAGAGCACATCCAGGGAAATTCATTAGGAGTAAATCTGTGAACACAAACAGCGGCAGAGTATCTATGATTACAGAGGAAGACCATCGTAGCCTCGAAGGACAAAAGATTTTTGCATTTCCACCAGAAGATACCCCGCTGATAAGCACACAATTAATGACAGATGAGGATCTACAGCACACATGCCGCATCCACCTTATTGACACACAACACCCAACATCATGTGAATACAAAACACTGCCACCGAGCACTAAATGAGCACTAAAATTAGCACTAAATCGTGACACCATTTTCAACTGATTTGCTCAATGTGGTGGGGCGGATGACGTCATCACTGGCGGCAGTTTTTCCTCATTTACTTGAAGTTAGCCCCGCCAACAGTTTTTATAATTTTTTGGTGTGTTATTGTAGAGCACAATTTTTTTTATATATACCTTGGAGAAGCACAAATTCAGCACTAAATTATGGATATGTTTATATAATTTGTGCTCATTATGGTGGGGCCAACTTCACGCGAGTACTTTGTTAATGACTACAAAGATGAGCTGCTTTAATTATCAGGATCGTTTATTTATTAATTGCTCAATGCACAGCTGGATCGAGTTTTGAACCAACAAAAAGCTTCTGACTTTTTCAGTAACCTTCTGATTATTGGTAATTGTCCTGAGTAGAGTTAACATGAACATTTTGATTTATTAGGCGAGCATTATCCACCCAGCTCTTGTTAAATTCTGTTAAATACTACAATGAAAAGTCAAGTAGTGATGTAGAGTAGAATCAAACTATACATTTAAAAGTAATTCACCACCCACCTACAACCGCAACAGTTCCTTGGTTCTTTGTATTGACGACAACTGAGACATCATCATGAGTATGGCCTGGAGTAGGGATAATTGAAATGTCTTTGTCAATCACATATGGCTTTCCTATAACCAAATTAAAACTAAATTACAGGGTTCATAATAGCTGATTAGGTTTTGATTTTGAATAATCAAAAACGCTCCTGGTATACGTGAAAGGAGTAGTTTTAATGTGTACTATTTGTACCAATGTGAAAGGTTTATCCCACAAAATAGGGATGAAAAGAAATGAGTGATCAACATAAACGCCCTCTAGGCTTGTCAGTCATCAAACTTCAAACTTGCTTAGGATTTTACAATTGTAAGAGAAGTCTAATTGCAGCATCCAAAGTCAAGCAGGTCATCAAAAGTGAAGTAAGATCAAATGCATCTTCTGACAGACTTTAAGATCAGTAGGTTACTTACAATTTTTACACTTGATACATTTTTCAATTATTGTTTATTATATTAAAATAGAGAAAGATGGAGGGTCGTTGTTGGTGTGGCCAAATAACTTGTTAGATACGCATGGCCATGGGATTAAGAGTAAGTACATTTTTGCATTTTAAATGTAAAATCATGTCTTATTTACAATGAAGTTTTAATTGTTACAATGTACATTTTAGAGCAAACCTACCTTCATCAAATGGATGTATTGTGTATTTGTGTTTATAACTGATGCTGAATCCCACGATATGTTTAGCTTTCAGGAAGAGGTTGTTGTTGCCGGTGTGGTCGGAGTGGCTATGTGTGCTGATTACGTAGTCAATCTGATTCACGTTCACTCCGTGTTTGCCTAAGGCTGAAATAGAAAATTATTTTTATCCATGCTTAATGAGGCAAATTAATCTAAACAAAGAAATCATCTGTTAACTTAGTGTGAAGGTGATTTGTTAGTAATCTATTAAGCAAATAAGTGGATACAAGGAGACTTAAGTTACTCTTCTGTTTCAAGTTCATAAACTTTTGACGACCACACCTCAATTTTCTGTTATAGCGACCACACATGGATTTTATACAGCTGAATTTGTAAAGAACAATGTTTAATCATGAGGATTGTCCGTTAACAGCAATAAGACTCCCTTCCCACTTGAACCAGGCTAAGGTTATGCGGACTCTTACCTCGTAGCTATTCTCTGTCCTGTGCATCGCGATGTGTTCAACTAGTGACTAAATAATGTGTATTAGCCTACGTTTTTTGTCTAGGGGTTCATTTTGTGAATTGCTAACATGAGTGATTGTATTTGAATTTGGCAAAATTAAGATAATTTTTTTTCTATAGATTAAGAAATAAAATCTATAGAAAAAAACTGATTGAAGTAAAAACTGTTTTATAATAGCAAGATTAAGAAATCCAAACATATAGTTAAAACTACTTGGGATATTATAAACTCAGAAACCATGAAAAGTTAAGTTAATTGCACAAATAACATATATGTAGTAAATGGAAACAAAAGAGTTGCAGATCCTCTTGAAATTAATAATTTGTGATGTGGAAATTTATTAAATCTGAATTCCTTATTAAATTCCTAATCACTTGGTGAGAGTCCCATGCATCTACGATTTTTTTTTAAGTTATAGAGCTTTGAAAGTTTATGGAAAAGGGAAATTTTGGGAAAATCTTTAAAAAATTTCAAGTTCATATGTACAGTTTTTTTTTTTTTTTTTTTTTTTTTTTTTAAGAAACTATTTTGATATCAAAAGAAAGCTTATAATGTCCTCTTTGGAAAGAATACCAATTTTTGTCTAAACTCATGGTAGTTTTCATTTCAATAATTGTTTTATCGAAGCATGTCATAAACGTTTTAGAAAAGGGACCTCTTGTTATGTTATTTCTCCATAACACAAAAAAGTGTGTTAATCAATTAAACTCTTTAAGTGTGTAGCCTGTTTCTCCATAAAACTCTTGTCGGGACCGCAAAATTGGTGAGATATTTTGTTCTCTATAGACTGAACTTTGTTGTAAAGTGAATATTAGAAATGGGACCTCTTGTCATTATGGCGAAATAACGTTGAGCAAAATTTCTCAGACCGTGCAGAGGCTAACAAAATTATTTTTTTCGACCTTTTGCATCTTCGATTTGATATTTTAACCGATACTGTCTTGTTCTATGACAAAAGAAGTAAACAAATCAATAAAAAACCGAATTTTAATATTTTTAACCTTAACCAAAACTGCCAAACACTAAAGTACTCATAACTTACTTATTTCTTAACTAAATTGACTCAAACTTTCAGGGGACCTTTATGGGTATTAAAACCAGCTAAATTTAACTTGTTTGGCAAGGACAAGGAAACAGAATTGAATTTAAAAACATTTGACTGGGTAACACAAACTGAAAATTTTACAAGACAAAACAAGCACCATTTTTAGGGGAGACAAAACAAACAATAGCTACGAAAAGGTAGTAGCCTAATACATTTACATTAAGGTTATTTTTGGTCATATCAACCGCACTGAAAATTTTGCATCGCCGACAAGAGGTCCCTTTTTGCTTTCCACATCATATTTATTAAATTCTTATTTTATCAATGTTGTGATGGACAGGCCTATTAATG